TGAGCCATACAAAGAGGCACAGGCGACTGGTGCCTGCGGGGAGGGGGTGCAAGGAGGGCCACCCCGAGGGGCAGGGAGGGGGCCCAAGGGAGCACCCATTTATCAACTAGAACTGCGGGCTGGAGCCGGGGGCTGAGCGCAGTGTCTCACAGTGCTGGGTCCCCGCCGCAGGTTGGCACAGCCAGCTCTGGGGATGCGACTCCCAGCTGTGCTGATGGGCAGGCAGGCGCCTTGTGCCCTGCCCACACATGCCCAGGTGCCTCTGAACTGACTGCACCCAGCTGTGGCCTTTACACTGCCTCTGCAGCAGGCCCCCAGTAGAAGCAAAGCAGCTTCTGGCAGGTCCTGGGATGCCTCCCCTCCCCCCACACGCACACTCACCTCCAGCTCCCTTCTGGGTGGATTTAATTTCCTTGCAGCTCCGGGGCAGGCCCTGGGAGCTCTGGTCACCCTGAGAGCAAGACGAGTCTTCCCAGTTGTCCAGCAGCTGGCGGATGGCGAGTTTCAGGTCAGGGTCACAGTTGCCCTCAGCTGCACAGGGATTACTCGGGGTTAGTTAGGCTCTTTCGCTGGCCAGAACGGCAGCGCCCACCCTTCTGCAGCATCGCCAGCCCACGAGAGCAAAATCATGGGCGAGGGCTCCCCAAATCAGGATGTTTTGCCTCATAAACTTGAGTTGGTTTTGTTCTTGAAAGACCAGCTTGTGTTTTTCAGTTTGTGTTTTGTGAGCTGGCTTCCCGCTGCTCCTCCCTAGGGTTGTGTGACAATTAGTGCTTCCTATTCTCCCACATGTATCATGGAAGACGAGATTCATCCCTTGCTACAGGAGTTCTCAGCCTGCCCCCATCTGCCCAGCAATTCACACTACTCCCTGACCCCCAAATCAAACCTGTCTTCCCAGTTCCCACGTGACATCTGCCCCACATCTGCCTGTTGCATCAATTCTGTTTGTCTCCCAATCCCCAAATTAGTTTAGTCCAGTGCTGTGCCTACTCCCTATCCAACCCTGCCCCCAGCTGCACATCTGTCCTGCCCCTATTCAGCCCTCAGCCCCACATCTGCTCAGATCCTCTGCCCCACCATTCTCACCTCTACTCCTTCTAGAGAGGGGCTAGGTTGCAGACCTGGCTTGTGTGGGAGGGGATGGAGGCTCAGGGCTTTGGAAAATCAGTGAGTGTGTTGAAGTGTCATTTGGAATGAAGATTTTTCAGACTGATTTTGGCTGCACATCTCAAAACAGCTGCAGTCCCTTGCGGTGTTTCGAGACTGGCCCCCTAAATCACTCGTACTTTTGAAACTCTTGGCTTCAGAAGGGAAGTTTTTCTACTTAGATTGTGAGTTCTTCTGGGCTGAGGCTCTCTGTTCTGGATTCGTACAGTGCCTGGCGCCATAGGGGCCCAGCCCAGGACTGGCTCACCGAGGCTCTACCTTAGCACCGAGGAACACAAGTAATACCTTCATGCCCCTGAATTTGCAAATTTTGGCTCCAGAACATGGACAGAAGAAATTAACTGGAGCAGGTTCCTTGTGAGCTAGGGGTGGAAGGAGCTTGCCTGCCTGTTGGGATCTTTAGTGCCTCCCTTGTGTATCAGCAGAGCCTTCCCTGGCCCGGCCCTTCTCCGTGCGTATCACGGCCCTGACCCAAGAGGCAGGGTCAGTGTTGGGGTGAATTATTTCCCAGACGAGGAAAACGAAACAGCCACTTACCGCAAGGGGCTGCCCTGGTCAGGGGGAAGAGGAGCAAGAGGACAGCGAGTTGCTTCATTGTTGCCTTTGAAACAGAGAAAATAGTGAATCAGCTGCTTAATAGTTGGACATGAACTAGTTAATGTTGGGGATGGAGTCTCCGCCTCAAATCTCCTGATCCCAGGGCTGCCCTGGCTCTCTGCCTAACCTGCCCATGGGCATTAATACCAGGCAGCCCTAGAGTTCAGTGGGGGTTTTCCTGAGTGGGGAGGGGGCCGCTCTCTTATGAAGTGTGGCTCAGCTTCGGTAGGCAGAGAAGGGAGTATAGGGGATCATGATGCCGGTAGGGGTGACAGGGGAAGTCCAAATATAAAGCCCTCCCCCGGCATCTCCTTTGGGAACTGATCCTCACAGCAACCCTGTAGGGTGCACAGGTCTCATTATACCCATTTTACAGGTGGGGAAACTGAGGCAGAGTGGGCCTCACCTAAAGCCCATTCAAGTCAATGGATTGCCTCCCCTGGCTCCAATCGATGCTGGGATCAGGTCCAGAGCAGAGGACAGAGGGGATCAGTACCCACCGGCCCTTCTCAGACTTTTCTAGGTGTCTCTCTTCTGGCTCTGTGGCAGAACCGACAGCACATTTCACTCATGCTGAGGTATCTGCCTGCACGCTGCCCGGGCACAGCTTCCTGCGCCCAGCCCACGGACCCTGCAGCACAGCTACCCAGGGCTAAAGGCAAGTCAAAGAGCTCTTGTGGTTGAGCCTCTGATTCCGCAGAGCTGCCTTCAACACCCCCGACCCCTCTGCCAAGGACTCACTGGGCAGGTGATGTGCGCTCTCTGGGCTCAGCTCCCCAGCTGTCCAACAGGGGTGAGAACCAACTCTGCTTCACCGGGGTGCTCTGAGGACAAGTCCATTGAGTGCCACCTGGCAGCTAAAGAACCCTGCTGCCGGCACCACACTGGCTGGGCATCACGGCCCACGCGGAAATTCAGCTCTCTCTCCGTTGTCCAGTGCAGGTGGCCTCGCTGCAAGCCAAAGCCGGGCTGCTGAAGGCTCTGAGGTTTGGCTTGAGGTGGTGGGGAAGCCACGTGTCTTCCCCTAGTGAGTGTGACCCTAACACACATCTGGGGCACTGAAGGGTCCTCCCAGGGACTGTTCCAGGGCTACTGGGCAGAGATACTGTTTAAATGAAACATAAATAGGAAAATTCCTGCTTTCAGCTGAGCCACTCCCTTTGGGATCTCACCTCAGTGTGCCGAGCTGCTGGGCAGCCAGACGGGCGGAAGCGCTTTACAAAGCATTGTCCTCCTTTGACAGAAGTAGAGAAACCAACAACGTCTTGGGCTTGTTAAAGCTACTGTTTGTCGTGTCGACCTATCACCACTGTGGCTACACAGAGTAATGTCCCAAGGGAGGGGAAGGGTCAGGACTCACCTGGGGTCCCTAGTTCCCGTGTCACCGCAGCATCTAACGGCAGAGTTCAGCAGCAGAAGCGTCTCACTAGAGAGACGGACTGTTCCTCTGATGCGCCACGTGCACATCCAACCTTTTAAAGGGAGGGGAACCACCCAATCAATGCAAACACAATTTACAAACACCAGAACTCTCCAGACAACCAACCCAGGCGCTGGGAGGTTTCCAGTGAAAACAATAAACAGGGTCAAATCTAGTTCATGTTCCAGGTACCTCAAATTATTGACCCACCTCTGCCAGTCCAGCTGGAAACTCCGTGTTGATGCAATAACATATGGCAGGCCAGACATTACTGCATTATCACAGACTGTTTGCAAGCTGTTTGCAGCTCAGTGTTGACTTAAGTGGTGGAGTTGAATGGTCCTGAGGAAGCCAGCAAGGAAGCTGAAGCTCCTTAGATCCTACGCTGCTATAATGTGAAAGCAGGAATTTCGCTGGTTAGTTTAATTGAAAACCACTTGGCTTCACTCCCACCTTAGGCCAAATCTCAGAGCCATCAGCACCCCGGCTTCACCCTGTGAGCGTTCTGCAGCAAGGCCACCTGCGCTGGGCACTGGAAAGAGACTGAGCTCCCCATGGGAGCAAAGCCCTCACCTTCTGCGTGGGCCGTGACTCCCAGCTGGCAAGGTGCAGGCAGCAGGGCTCATTAGATGCCAGGAACACAGTGTGGCCAGTCCTTGGTTACCCCAGAGAATAGACAGTTGCAGCACAGTCCGTCTTGGTCAGCCCAGAGCACGGAGACCTCTGATTCCTCCTGAGTCCCAGGCCAGGGGCATCTCCTGCAGCCAGCAGCCCTCCCTTCATGTCCACATGGGGCCCTTTCCATCTTTTGTTTCTGTTCCCATGAAAACATTGTCACCTGACCTGCTACCTTAGCCCTTTGTTCTCCACCTGGTGACACCTGACTGGCTTCCTGCAGAAACTAGCTCCTCCATGGTTGTTAATTGCTAGGTGCCAAATGTCTGGGCAACTGGAGTGGCCATTGTCTTCTTGTACTCTCCCTGGGCACGGGAGTCTAGGCCCCAAACCACCGGGCATCAGTCATGCCTCTATCTCTGACTCTCTGCCAGTGTAGACGCGCTTTTCCGGAAAAGACTACTGGGCTGTCTACACTGGCCCTTTTCCAGAACAGTGTTCTGCAATAAGGACTTATGCCCGAGCGGGAGCAGAATAGTTTTTCTGGAAAAGCGGCTGATTTTGTACAGTAGAGCATTGTTGCTTTTCCGGAAATTCAAGGGCCAGTGTAGTCAGCTTGCAGCTTATTCCGGAAAAGCGGCTGATTTTCCGGAATAAGTGGCCCAGTGTAAACACAGCCAACATGTTCACATATGATACTAAGCTGGGGGGTAGGTACAGGGGGTCTAATGACCGAAAATTGGAGGACTGGGCCAAGACAAGCTCTGAGGAGGTTCAACAAGGACAAGTGCAGAGTGCTGCACTTGGGATGGAAGATTCCCACGCGCTGCTACAGGCTGAGGGACGACTGACTAAGTGGCAGATTTGCAGAAAAGGACCTGGGGATGACAGTAGAAAAGAAGCAGGATACAAGTCCGCAATGTGCCCTTGTTGCCAAGCATTGCCGGCAGATTGAGGAAAGTGATTATTCCCCCTCTATTTGTTACTCTTGCTCACAGGACAGGAGGGGAAAGTGAAGCCGCGCTGAGCTGCTGGGCTCTTTAGCTCCTGCCTGTGTGCAGGGGAGCAGAGCGGGAGGGGCTCTGCCAGCTTCCCAAGGGCTGAACTTCCGGGGGGCTAGTGGAGGGTCTCACATCGCAGCAAGAGGCCTCCTGCCCCAGCTGACATGCCGCCCCTCATGCCGAATCATGACAGCTGTAGCCATTTTGCCATCATGGTGCTTCGTCTAGGAAGCGACTGTCCAGGAAGGAGTACGGCAGAAAGGGATCTCGCGCTCGTAGTGGACCACAAGCTAAATATGAATCAACAGTGTGATGCTGCTGAAAAAAATAGCAAACATGATTCTGAGATGCATGAACAGGTGTGTTGTGAGAAAGACACGAGAAGTCATTCTTCCGCTCTACTCTGCGCTGGTTAGGCCTCAGTTGGAGTATTGTGTCCAGTTCTGGGCACTGCATTTCAAGAAAGATGTAGAGAAATTGGAGAGGGTCCAGAGAAGAGCAACGAGAATGATTAAAGGTCTAGAGAACATGAGCTATGAAGGAAGGCTGAAAGAATTGGGTTTGTTTAGTTTAGAAAAGAGAAGATTGAGGGGGGACATGATAGCCGTTTTCAGGTATCTAAAAGGGTGTCATAAGGAGGAGAGAGAAAAATGCACCTTTAAAGCCTTTTTCACACCCTGGCCTCTGCAGCAGAAGAGCTTTATGGACTTGAGAGCATGAGACAGGGACCAGCTGGCAGGCCTGGCTCGAGTGGGAGAGGGTGGAGACTCAGGATATGTCTACACTACCCTCCTAGTTCGAACTAGAAGGGTAATGTAGGCATGCCGCACTTGCAAATGAAGTGGAACGAGGTGTACCGGTAATTCGGAATAGGAATCCTAGTCCGAACTACCTAGTTTGAGCCCCGTGTAGCCGCGCTGCACGGGGTTCGAACCAGCGGGGATTTAAAAATGGCGGCTCCCCGCTTATGCAAATGAAGCCCGGGAAATTCAAATCCCGGGCTTCATTTGCAAGTGCGGCATGCCTACATTACCCCGCTAGTTCAAACTAGCGGGGTAGTGTAGACATACCCTCAGCGCTTTTGAAAATCTGGTAACGCATGTTATGTAAGTGTCTTGGTGGATCAAGATTTTCAGACTGAATTTGGGGGCCCAACTCTATGCCAATGAAGCCCCTTTAAAAGTGTCTCACCAACATTTGGTACTGAGACTGTCAGCTCTTTCGGGCTGTGTGTTTCTTTCTGGGATGCCCTGGTCAAGGGGAAGAGGAGCAGCAGGAGAGCAAGTTGCTTCATTGCTGACTTTGCAATAAGAAAAACCGTGGATCATGGGTTAATAGCCAGGCCAGGAAGTGGCAGGGCTCCTCCTCAATCCTCCTGCTCCCAGGGCTGTGCTGGCTCTCTGCCTAATCTGCAGTTTTCGCCTCTGTGGGGTGTGGAGATCACATTGTACCCATTTTGCAAATGGACCCCTCCCTGTGGCAGGAGCGATATGAGACCTCAGCTCTCTGCAAGCGCCCTGCTGCTGCTTAGGCCCGTGCCCAACAGCTGCTGGCAGAGAAAAGCTTGCCAGGGTCCAGCTGATCGTCCTGGCAGAGAATTACAGAGGCACAAGTGGCACTGAGGTTCCCAACTCCCATTGTCCAGTGAGTTTCCCGGAAAATCTCCCCTCCCTTCCCTTCCCAGAGCCCAGGATGAAATTCAGCTGGAGGATCAGGGTGCAGGACTCAGAAAGGCCAGTGGCTGCAGCTAACATCAAGGCACCTTGGACAATGTGGGGGTAGCCAGTGGGTAGCAGATTCTTTGGAGTCCACTGACTCCAAAGAGCTTTAGATCAGGCCCTTTCCGCCTCAGTTTCTCCATCAGCAAAACATTAAGAACATCAGAATGGCCACACCGGGTCAGACCAAAGGTGTGTGCTCATGATGCTACTTGCATTCCACCCGGGACCCTGTACAGGTACCATAGTCCCCAGTGCTCCACTCCCAGCCTGTCTCCCCAGAGCTTCCCACCCCCCAAGCCATCGCTGAACCACCAAGGGGCTTTCAGTGGTCTCTGAAGAGGAAAACTGCTCTGCACGGCCAGTCCCTGCCACCTCTTGCAAACCCCCACTGAGCGCAAGGGCTGCAGGGTCT